ACTACCAAAAACCATGAAGCTGAGTATTGTGCAATGTGCCAACATACAGCACTCAGAAGCTGAGCAGGTCAGGGCACCTTAAAGGTAAAGAGAAGAATAACGGGACTGCATCCCCAGGCTGTCCTCGGTTCCCTGGGCACTCTGCCCCAGGCTTCACTGATGCCTCTGGCCCCCACTGAGAGAGACCCCTCTCTGAGGAGGACAACACTCCAGTGAAAAGTGATCAAAGCACAAAATCCAAAGTAGCTGAAGAGTGCTAGCTTGTCCCTCCCTTCCTGTGACTCCTCACACTCTTCCCCACACCCTACTTCAGCAGATTGCTCCATGCACCAATTAATCATATATATACATATATAGTTACATATATGTGTGTCATATATATGTATATATACATATATGTGGGCCTAGGTCTAGGCATTGAAGAAGAAGCAAAGTGTCAAAGTCCAAAAGAGATGAAGGATGTGCATCAGAAGAAAACAAGAAATGCTTAAGTTCTATGGCCTTGAAGAAATTTTAGAAATAACCTCTTCTATAAAAGGAAGTCAAAGAAATATTTAAAAATAATATAAAAAGGAAGCTGGTAAAGTTCAGAATGCAAATGAAATAAAAATAATTGTTGCAAGGTATCAATCAAATCACAAAGAGAAAAGGGATAAAGAATAAAAACACATTCAGGACTCAAATATGATACTGTGATACTGGACAAGTAAGAATCACATCACATCATTGGTGTCCCTGAAATAAATTACAAACATGGAAGGGAAATAAAATAAGAAAACGTCATGGAGTTGGAAAGTTGCTATGTGGTTAAGAGCACTTATAGCTCCTGCAGAGGCCCTAAATGATGGCTTACAGTCATCTGTAACTCCAGTCCAGGCTGTCCAATGCCCTCTCTGACCTCCATGGGCACCAGGCATGCACACAGTACCCATATATATCCAGGCAAAATACCCATACTCATAAAATAATAAAATAAATAAATCTCAAAAGATATTTTTTAAAGAAGAAGAAAAATACAATGAACTTGCAATTCCAAAAGGCAAGTCATGTTCATAGTGAAATCAAAAAACAGTCTTATCGATGAGTGGTCAAGTTATCAATGAAGAATAATGATGATCAACTCTCTAAAAGAAAGACATACTCTCTGACACTGGCATCTTACTCACACCCCAGGGCGGGCTGCATGCTTGACCGACACAAAGCAGATTCCATGTGTATTTACCTTCTCTTTTCAGTGTGTGTATGTGTGTGGTGGTGTGTGCACACACCACCACACACATACACACACTTTTTTATACTTCTCGTATTTTGGTTTGATTTTCGTTTTCTTTTAAAGAGAGAGAAAGATGTGAAAAGAGATAGGTATGAGGGTGAGTCTGGGTGAACTCGGGGAGCAAGAGAAAGAACAGGACCAAAGTATATGTATGAAAACAGTTATAAATCAATGTTTCTAATAAAATAAAGACACACTCTCTGGAAAAGGAATTGCAACTGTCTGAGATTTGTTCATAGGAATTAGCAGGCCCACAGACAGCCATTCTTGAAACACTCCAGGGAAAGGGGGCTGAAGGATCTCGTATTTTCCCAGATTGTTCCTCAACTGCAAAGACAGCAGGAAAGCATTTATTTAGAAATGAAGTCATGAGACAACACTCAAAGCTCAACCTTGAATAATCTGCTTTTCAGCTAATTCCAGTCAAGCAAGACACAAACAGCTAAGGAAAGAAGTAGAAAACACAGTAAAGGACTCATAGTGACCCTTAGAAACTATCTCAAAATTAATATTTACAGTGGAAATTTTGGCTCATGATAAAAAGGCAAATCTTGCAAAATTTGATAATGTAAAAAAAGCATTATAACTCTCAAAGGGATTAAGTGAAAGAAGTTTTAGTACATTGGTTTTTCTTCAAACATACAATCTAGTTGATTATATAAAATTATGTCGTTTTTTAATTGATTCATAACGATGATTATCATAACTTTAATGGAATTCAATTGTTTTTGTTATGAAGAATCGGCCATTCTTTGATGATTCTTTTTAATTTTTATTATTTCTGTTTTAAGAAATTGTAACATCAATTTTTATTCAATATAATCATTTACATTTAAATATCATAAAATAATTTCACATTTATAAATTGTTTACTAAGAGTGCCATTGATCTTGGTAGTGCTGTAAACTAAATAGATATAACAGTTATTTATGAAAAAATATCATGAATTGTTTTTTGCTTTTTTTCTGCATTATTTGAATTCTCTCTTGAAATTTTATGAATGGCAGTTTTTTGCAGAAACAATACTCTATCTTTTCATAAATTTGGTTTTGTTCTCTCAGTCACTCTCCCATGTCTCAGAAGTACAGGGATCATGAAGAACAAGTAACTAAATGTCCACCATTAGTGTGTTATTAAATGAAGATTTAATAACATGTCCATGACTTCAGTATAGAGGAGAAACAAGGCACTTGGGAGGCCCATTTTTCACGGAGCCAAGCTGCCACTTTAAGGAAGCTTTGTTTCCGAATGGAAATCACAACTTCAGGGAAGGGATGATTCATGGATTATCCATCATTATACTGAGGCATTTTTGTTTAAATCTTTGCTTTTGCTGACAAATAAGACAAAATCTTTATTACTCAAATAAAAAAAATGCCTACTTCAGCATCTAGGACTTAGTCGGTGTCCAATGCACGCAAGCTTTTAACTTACTAAATGTTATCCAAAAGACAGAGGGCTATGAAGAAAAACCCACTGGTAGGAGTAAATGGAAGATGAAACTGGGGTGGGGGGATATTTATCTCTTCTTCGCCCATTCACAATACCCTTAGCTCTAACCAAGAACAGATCTAGAAATGAAGGAAGGCCCGCATGGCTATGCAATTATCCCTGTTCTGCAGGTCCGTGTTCTAGACTTGCCGTCTGCTCCCAGTTCATTATGACAAGGGCAGAAATAAGTCTATAGGGAAAAACAGAACATGCCTACAGAATATAAAGCATGGATTTATGAAGCATGTTTGAATGAAGACCCAAAATTGTGAGCCTATTCCACCTTGTCTGCTGAAGGTCAGATAGTTTGAGCTTGTTCAGAGTTGTGGACTTGTTCAGACTGTGGTTACACACCCTGACCTAGGGTGTGGTTACTTGGTGTTTTGGACATTAAGGTGGCCCAGAAAAATAGATCCGCTCCACCCTGACCGAAGGTCGGAGAATTCAAGCACACTTTTGCTTTTTCTTTTGAATTAGATGTTTTGAACTAGGGAGTGCCTGCCTTCAGGACACTTGGTCTAGAGTGGGATCACTACCTAAACAACAGAATGCTTTTCTCATGAATTAACAGCTTGATGTCTCAATCAACAGCTGAAGCAACTAGCTGTTGTAGCTGTCCTGTGAAGCATGTTGAAGCAGTCTTGCCTCCCCACATATACCCCGTTTTATATTGGGCTATGAAAGTGTATGAAAATTTAAACACAAGGTGAACTCAGAACTCAGGACTCAGAAGAATTCAGCATTCAGGGTCTACTGAGTTGCTCTCCTGTTCCTGTCCTGTGTCTCTGTGGTTCTTTCTTATCTCTGTTCCTCCGACACAGCATTTTTGATCCTCATACCCCTACTCGGAATGTCCAAACCTGCCGTAACCCGCCGTGGTTAGGACAGTGGAGAAGTCACCCCAAAAAGGCAGCTTACATGTTTACAACTTTTATATTCGTGAGACCAAACACAAACATCAAATTACCCTGGACCATCAGACAAAACTTTCCTTTAAAAGAGTCCACTTGTGAATGAGGCAACGGTAAACCAACGGCAATGCCTTAAGTCCTCCAGTCAGGCTTTGGCTTTGTCCTGTGTTACAAAATGCTGTGACTTTATCCACAGGCAACACTTTAAATTCACATTATTAGAGTCGGGAAAATAGCCTTTCATTTACTTCTTGGAGTGTGAATGTTGAAAGACAAGAGAACTAAAAATAGATGCGAGCCACCTCCTACCGCAAGATAAGGTACAATCTGATCCCACCGCGTCTTTCAGATCCTCTGATCATCTTTCCACAGTTTTTAAATGATCTCAAACTTTCTACTCCTTTTCATTTATACTTTTGAGTTTACACAACCATGAATTTCAACAAACACCTGCTGTTCAACGTCAAAACAAAAGAGTGGTTAACTGGAAAGCAGGATTTTTCTCATTCTAGTTACAAAAAGCTAAAGGACATGCTAACTTGACACCGGTTTAAGAATAAGGTTCTCTGGCGAACACGAATGAGGTTAAGAAAGTTCCTTGAATGGAAACAGAGCACAGGAGGCTTTATCCTCCACAAAGTGAGTCCCATGGGCACAGTAGGACCACATTTGCAACCCATCAAGGGGAAAGCCAACTGAAGGTCACGTGTCAGCTTTCCCATGCAAATACAGACCAACCTATAACTAAGGAATGCTTCCAGCAGCAAAGGCCAGCGTATGAGAGTTTAGGAGTATTGGCGTGCATGGGGGTTTGTATTGTGGGTGGGTGGGGTAACCCTGGAGAACGACTCCTAAACTAGAAAAGCAGCAGCTGCTCAGCAATGCTTGAGACAGAGGCCAGCTAGCAGACTTTCACTTCATATGCTACTCTGTGCACGCTCTTCCCACTTGGTTCCCCACCCTATCTCAAAGGCTAATGAGTTACTCTGCAGAACTTTCCCTTGTGACAAAGGGTGCCTCTGTTGAAGAAGCCTGCCTCTTGGTAAGAGAGATGTCAGTGAGGAAAGAAAACAAGGGCTTTGTCCAGAGTCTTGGTAAGAAATTTTATTGAGCCCAGTGGTGTGAAAGGCATATAGGAATTTAAGGGCAGAGAACTCACTCCATCTTGTATGGAGTCTTCTTTTGTTTGAGATGGGGTAGAGCAGGGTCTCACTGTGTAGTCTAGGCAGACCTGGAATGTGAATTCGTGCCTCTGCCTCCTGATTGCTGGGGTCACACAGACAAGCCACACTTTCCACTCTAAATATGACTCTTCTTACTCTAAGAAGCATTTTATAAAGGAAAGCTGGACCTTTCAGCCTTCCATCAATGCTTCCCTTCGCTCCAGGCATCCTGCTATCCTGTGTACTCGAAGCTAGACGGAACTGCCTTTTCGGAGAGCCGAGAGAGCACTGGAGCTCCGAGGTAATTAAATTTCAAGGCTGCGAGACACATAAGCTTCACTGTGAGGCCTCAGTTCCTCCATGCCTCAGACCCATTGTTTGTAAACAGGACTAATAATAGTAACTCATCTTTGCATACTGTGAGGACCAAAGACTTACATCATACAAAGCACTTGGCCACTGCAGAGAGCACTGGACATGCTCAGTAGGTCACTTCACTGCTGTTATTTTTATCGGAATTCCAAGTTTCAGCACGGAGGTCTACCTGAGTTGAGATTTACATCCTTTTGCTGCTAATCCAAGAGATATAAATCAGATTAAAGTCTTATAGTTGCAAACTCTAGTTTGCAGTCATTAATCAGTAATTTTGATAGTCCCTTCTTTCTTCTCTGTGTATGAGTGTGTGTGTGTGTTCATGTTTGTACATGTGAGCTTGTGTGAGTGTCTGTGGTCAGGTACCAGCATCGGGTATCTTCTCTGTGTATGAGTGTGTGTGTGTGTGTGTGTGTGTGTGTGTGTGTGTGTGTGTTTGTACATGTGAGCTTGTGTGGGTGTCTGTGGTCAGGTACCAGGATCGGGTATCTTCTCTGTGTATGAGTGTGCGTGTGTGTGTTCATGTTTGTACATATGAACTTGTGTGAGTGTCTGTGGTCAAGTACCAGGATCGGGTATCTTCTCTTGCTTCCTGCTTTATCTTTTGAGACAGGGCCTCTTCCTTAGCTCAGCATTTCCCAGCTTGCTGGACTGGCTGGCCAGACTCTGGCTATCCACCCGTCTCCATCGTTCTCCACTCGGAAACACTAAGATCACAGATGTGTACAAAAGGACAGCACTTAACGTGGGTATCGAACTCAGGTCCTCAAACTTGTATGACAGTCACTTTACTCCCCGAGTCATCTCCCCAACTCCTGACAGTCCCCTCTTGTACTGCAAGCCGCCTACCTCCACCACTCAGGAAAGGAGACTTTATGGGAATGAGATCAGGTATTTCAACCTTCCCATCTTAAATTCTCAGTCTCAGATTCCTCATCAGAGTTCTTACACCAGCTAGTCTTCTTTCTATTTAATCTCTACTATCTAAATATTCTGACATATTTAGACATACACCACACAGCTTATTAATTCTATGTGCATAATTGGTAACTAACATACAGAAGGGCCATGCTAGCGACACTCTCCACATAACAAGAGGAGGTGAGAGCTCCTGCAAGCTGGAACTCCAGAGTCCTCGATTCCAGGCCTCGGCATATCTTAGGGAGGTGACATTGAAAAGGACTGTCAGAGTGTGTTAGTTAACTTTTCTGTCCCTTTGACGAAATGCCTGAGATCAACAGCTTAAAGAAAGAAAGATACACATTCTGACTCAAGAATTTTAGTCCACAGGAGGCTGGTTCAACTGCTGTGGGTCTATGGTAAAGCAGAAATAGTGGCAGCAGGGGGTGAGAGGTAAACTGTGCGTCATGGCAACCAGGATGGAAAGAGGAGGGCTGGGGGTGCAGGGGGGGGGGGAAGAAAAAGGTGGAAGGGCATAGAGGGGAAGAAAATGAAGCAGAGACAAGAGAGAGAATGAGAAATGCAAAAAAGAAAGAGAGAGGCAAAAAGCAGAAGGAGGGGGAAAGAAGAAAGGAGGGGGAAGAAGAGAAGTACATAGAAGTAAATAAGGAAGGGGAGAGGGGAAGAGAAAGGAGGAAGGAGAGAAGGGGAGGAAGGGGAGGGAGGGGAGTGCAGGGGAGGAAGGGAAGATGAGGGGAAGGGAAAGGAGGAAGGAGAGGAGGGGAGGGAGGGGAGGGCAGGAGATAGATGAAGGGAAAAGGAGTGAGGAAAGGAGAGGAGAAGAAGGGAGAGGAAGTGAGGGGAAAGAAGAGGAGAGAGGAAGAACTCTTCAAAGACAACTTCCTCCAGCCAGTCCTTTCCCTGCACTGTTTGGCAATTTGGTGCCCTTGTGATCTACCTGCCACCCACAACGCCCTTGCCTGGGAACCAAGCCTTCAGTAAAGGAGCCTTCGCAAAGCCTCTTCCTCATTTAAGCCAGAACAATCTGTAAGTGATGGAACCGGTACAAGTTCTGTGATGCTACAAGTTGCTTGTCAAGTCAATAGCCACATTTCTAGAATAAAAGAAACCCCTTTATGTAGGCAGCCTTAGATTCCTCTAACTCTGAACCATCCTGGAAAAATACCAGCATTCACAACACAACACATAAAGAATCAAGCTTCAAAGACTCCATTAATGGTGCAGCATCTCCCTTTTTATAAAGATTTATTTATTTTTATTTTATGAGCGTGAGTGTCCTGCCTATGTGTGTGTGTGTGGGGGGGGTGCATTGACACACATGTGTGTCTGGTGCCCCCAGGAGTGTCATATTCCTTGGAACTGAAGTTACAGCCCATTGTGAAGCACCATGTTCGGTGCTAGGAGCTGAACCACGGTCATCTGGAAGAGATCTTGTCTGCTAACCATTTTCCCAGCCTCTAAAGGGAGAGAGCTTGCTTAACATCCGAACCAGAGACATCAAGTCTTTAACGCTGCTAACTCCTGACTTACATAAAATGTGAACAATTTTAGTTAGTTCTTATTCTAAAACACGTCCAGCAGAAGACAGATTATTAAGCACCTGGCTGAAATGGCACACAAACTGACAGACGTGGCAGCTGACAGCAAAACGGGAGCCACGAACTCACTGCATGGCTGATCAAACAGGAGCAGCAGCGGCTGCACCCTCAGACGGGGACATCGTGGCTGCGCCAGTCCATCCAAGGCACAGAAGCTAACTGACAGATTTTGAAGATTTCTTTTTTTATCAATAATGACTTTTCTAACATTTGGGGGCTGGAAAGGTGTCTCCGCGTTAAAAGCACTTGCTGCTGTTACAGAAGACACAAGTTTGACTCCCAGCACCATGTTGCAGCTCACAACCACCTGTAACTCCAATCCCAAGGGATCTGATGCCCTTTTCTGACCTCCATGGGCACGCATGTGGTATAAAGACTAATGAGCAAAGAAAACTCTCAGGCACATGAAATAATAAAATACATAATTTTTTTTAAAAAATTCAAAGTTTAACAAATTAAGGGCTAGATATTGTTATTCGGAAACACTGTGTAATGTAGAGAACTCATTCCACAGCAATCCTGTGTGAATGAGGTTTCACAACAGGTGCTTCAAAGCGGTTCTTTATGTGTTTTAGGTGGTGGGGAAAATACAGGTCAAAATTTACATAGTCATGCCTACACAATTGTATAAGTGAAAGTGGTAATTTTTTTGTTTGCTTGGTTGGTTGGTTGGCTTTGGTTTTTCGAAACAGTGTTCCTCTGTGGCTTTGGTGCCTGTCCTGGAACTAGCTCTTGTAGACCAGGCTGGCCTTGAACTCATGGAGATCTGCCTGCCTCTGAAGCTAGAAATTTTAAGAAGATTTTTTTAAATAGACTATGACAATATAGTCAATTATGTACTTCTATGAATAACAAATCTAAACAAAAAGAACTGGCTGCCTATTTTACAACAAAAAGCCAAGACTAGGCCCAGCCTGTGGAAGATAACTGCAGAATGACTCTGAGACCCAGCCAGGGCTTAACAGTGTACTTTGACAAAGGAACAGAGCCATTGAGTGCTTAGTATAAGCACGGTCCCTGTCACACAGTGCTCCCCAGGCAGACCCCAATCTCAGCTAACAGTTCAATGAACTGAGACTCAGACTGGTCCCACAGTTTATCCAAATGACAGAATCAGGAAATAGAGCACAATACTTGGTACCAATCGAAAGCATACTTTCCGGTACAGCTCACGGTCATCTTAGTCATCACAGGCTGTGTCGCGGCTCTGCCTCACATGCGGTGGCCGATCCTTTCTTTCCTCCTTTTCCACTCACCTGATTTCCACACACTTTCCCAACTGTCAGCTGTAAACGTCGCTCCTTCAATCTTATGACCTTTGTTGTACACAAGGGCCCGCTTGACTGGTGGTGTGACCCATGTCTTTGAATACACACGGATCCAGTGCTTAACACTGAATAAGTATTCAAACTAACATGATGGCAACACTGGACAACATAGTTGCTGAAAGAGTACAACTCCATTCCCATGAGGACCACAGCGGCCTAAACAAATTAACACAGTCCTGTGAGAACTAATTTATACTAAAGATGGTGTTTCTCAGAAGGCTTAATCTTCCGTTCCTGAAAGTACTGCCCACTAAAAATAGTCAATAGAGTTCTCAACAAGAGTAGGGATTTCAATGCTCTGTGGAGCACGGTGCTCTGCTCAGGGACAGACAAGAGCAGGCTGTCTGGAGGACAGACCCACAATACTACAGCAAGGCTGGGGATACATTAGAGGGGCTCTCACACAGAACTGTGGGCTGTTTACATTGACTCACACAAACACATTAGAATAAGGCTTATGGATGCACAGAGCCAAAGGGAATCTAGATTTCTCTCCGTGGGTGAATGACTGGATATCGGATTCACTCCACCAGATCCACTGCTGCAGGTAGACACAGTTACAGAAACTGATCTTCAAATACCGGGTCGAACAGATATCTACAGAGAACATCCTTTATGGGAAGACCTATGAAACTATAATTTACATTTTAGAAGAGCATACACAAATAAAAGATTGTATAAAACACATTCACAAATAAGATAGGAAAAAGAAGGAAGGTAGAAGGAAATAGATAAGAAAAAAATATTAAAGAAAAACAAAATACTCGGGTCTTGCTCAACCAATGACATTGCATGCTATGAATGCTAACATTGACTGCAGCCTTCTGAACCTGGTGTTCATTGGAAATCCAGACTGACATAAGCTATTATCTCAGACATCCTTCTATTAAGCGTTAGGTTTCCTTGTTCTTCAAAGTCAATGAGAAAACACTGATTTTTTTTAACCTCCAATATTAGTGTCATACACTAAAGATTCAATAAACAGTATGTCAGAATCACAGAAAAAGCGGAAGACATAACTATTTAGGGGTAAAGGGGCAGTGCTTGTCATGACAAGCATACGAAGGTCACAGGACTACTTTATGGAGCTGCTTTTCTCCTTCTACCTTTATGTGGCTTCTAGAGATGGAAACCAGGAAGCAGGTCACCAGGCTTGCACGGCGAGTGCCTTTCCATGCTGAGCCATCTCACCAGCCTAGAAAATTCTTTTTAGTGCCTAAATGGAGAGAAGTTTCTGTTGGCTGGCGGATAACGTGGGAGGAAATCACTGCAGTGATCTGTTAGGTTTTTTCAGCTTCCCAGGTGAAGTTTGAAAGTCACCAAGGGGTAACTTGTTTTGAATTAGCTGCATGTTAGACATGCTGAGGAGAATTAGCAAATAATAAATATCAAAATGTACAGGACTTCACACTAATGGCTTCTATACAGCTCCGTCATTTAAGACAAAGGAAACGGCACTATGCTTTGATCACTTTCTTCCCAATACAATCAGATCAGGTGCAGATTAATTTTTAGCAGCAAGCCTTCTATCTGCAGAAGAAGTTAAAGCAGCATTTCAGCTGCTGTGCCTTAATCTTAAACAGAACGTTAATATTCCTTCTTCAGGGCAGTGCAGCTGGTTCCGTGGACATTACTTTCGGCTGTCCCTCGCTGCATGCCTCTGAATGGTCCTCTAGGATGGACCGCACCGAGTCTATCTCATCGGTAGAACACTGGGAGAGCACACTGGAGGAGAAACTTGAGATGGCTTTCACCTTTCGGAAAGTTCTTAAGGACTTCAAAATGCCCTTTTGTGCCTGACAAAAGTGCCCGCTGCTTGACCACACTGAGCACAGCAGGGAAGGACTATAAATAGGAACTTAGACTAGAGCTGTGCGCTTCTCCTGTATTAGAAAAATTCTTTCTGAAACTTTCTCTTCTTCTTGGAAAAGGCCCTGTACTCTTTGTACCCTGGCTGAACATATGAACAAAATTTTGGCTATTTTCTTGGGGACAATAGCAATCTCAGAGACCATTTTCCAAAAGGCACCGGTAAGTGGTTAAAGTACACTAGTGTCCGGGAGTGGGTGGCTTTTTAGTACAAGAAAAGGGAACAAGATATATATGTTCAGGAAACAAGGACCTGCCGGCCTGGTCTAAGAATCAATCCTGTCAGGCTCAGGGTATTCTCAGCAGGGACAAGAAGGGACTACCTCACATGGGGAACAAATCTGTGAGGCTTTTAAGAGTGCAATCCCCCCCCCCAAAAAAAATGCAAGTTATCCTTAGAGACAGGAAGTGCACAAATGGGAGCAATAGTATTCTCATTTATGGATCTTAATGAAGGGTCTTTACCTCATCCTGGAAGCCTTTGTAAACCCCTCCACCTTCGAAGCAGAGATTTCAAAGTGACACACTGGGCCAACTCCAACAAGCTCCAACAGCTCATGTGACAGCCTTCCTTCACTCAGAAACAAGGCCACTAAAAAGGAAACTATATAGACCAGTTTAAATTTAGAAAACCACCAGGTAGGGAATATGCTATGATTAAAATGCAACTCTCAAAAGACAAGCTAGACTCATGTTTTCTTCCATAGTATGGATATGCCATCTTCTACTTGAGGACGTGTGGGAGGGGCATACATTCAAAACAGGGGAAGTGCCAAACAAGTATTTTGTTTACGGTGCTGGGTATAAAACAGTTTCCTGCCTTGAATCCACAGAGCTGCAAACCTTGCCTCAAACTGGCTTTATTACAAGGAATATCTAATCATTTCTTGTAGTTTGCTCTTATTACACGGTTAGCTAACTCAAAAGCACACACAGAATCCAGGAGTGCTAAGCCAGAAGAATGGAGAGGTTATTAACTCTGGAGAGTGCTGTTGTCTCTCAACATCCGCATTAGACAGCACTAATGACGTCACAGGAACAAAGCTGATGAGGCTTGGGTGTTTTTCTAATTCCCACTGAAGTATCAGGACTTCTTTCTGCAGCGCATAAAACACTGCTGAAGATGAGTCTGGGAGAGACATCCATCAAAGAAAGGATGTGAAACAGAGTAACAGCTCGTCGCTCCTGCAGCTAGTAAACACTGCAGGTTGGTGACTCATCTGGCAAAAACGCATGGGTGCTCAGAAAGAATTGCTTCCCTGCTTCATATCCAAAAGCACCAAGCAACCTAGTCATCCTTGAGTTACTCACCCTAAAACTTCAGTAACAGGCCCCTCCTTTCCCTGATCCTAAACTGTGGGCTCCTTAGAACTTAGTATCATTCTTGTCCTATAGTCAAACACTGTATAGAAAATGGGCGGAAGGGAGGTGGGTAGGAAGAACAACCAAAGACCTCCTAAACCATTGTACCACTGTCTGAATATCTTTAAAGACTGGAGCATGTTCTTAACACAAGTTGGATCAGCATGGTGGGAAAACAGCATCAACAGGCAGGAGCCCCTGATACTGTTAGATCTCTGCAAAATCCCTCCTCGGTGAAAGGGGAAGAAGAGAGGAAGGAAGGTCAGTTAATCAAGATGAAGAGTTTCTAGGAATATGATGGACAGCATGGTGGCTGAGTGGTCACAGGCAACAGCATAGTGGTGCTGTGCTGTGTGCTCGGGTTTGTAAGAGGGAGATAGTTGTACATTTTCACATCTAAAAAATGAGTGCAAGAAGAAAAGAAGAGGAGGAGGAGGGAGGAGGAGGAGATGGGAGAAGGAGGAAAGAAGGAACAGGAAAAGATAATCATGACGGAACAATTCTTATGTCTGCTAGCTTGAGTACCATGGCGACCTCACATATCAAAACAACACACTGTATGTATTTTTTTTAAAGTATAGCTTTGTTAATTACATCTCAATAAAACTGGGAGGGATTAAAAAAACAGAACTCTCAAGGAATTGTAAGAGATCTAGTTTGTCCTTCTGGAATCCTCTGGTCACAAATCATGTGGTAGTTCCTTGGAAGGCAGAGGCAGGCGGATCTCTGTAAGTCTGAGGCCAGCCTGGCCTATAGAGCAAGTTCCAGGACAGCTAAGAACAGCTGAGACTACACAGCAAACCCTGTCTCTAAAAACCAAAAGAAGGTGGAGGAGGAGAAAGAGGAGGACGAGCTTGGTTAAAAGACAGAAAGAAAGAAAGAAAGAAAGAAAGAAAGAAAGAAAGAAAGAAAATGTGTAGTGCAGGGTGTGTCAGGAATTTTTAGCCTCTTATTTGAAAGGCACTTCTTTCCAAAAAGGTAAATATAATTTTAATTAAATTAAACTTGAAAGTTTTTTGCTGAAAAAACATTAAGCCTTTATGAGTTGTTTTCTTTTAAAACAATTTGAACGCTGAAGCACAAGAACGTCAGCAGGGAAGAGGAATTAGGAGTGACATCTCCGAAAAGTACATTTTAATAAACACATCACAACAGGCTGTTGTTAGGATTCTAATATTGGCGCTTCTAATTTATAATTAATTTGAAAAGAGCGGAGAAATGACTTTCTGTGGTGAATATGGTCTGTGAATCACCGAAAAAAAAATAGTTCTGAAAGTAACGCAATCTTCAGTGGCATCAAACAACCACCGAGGTTCTTAATGAGCCATTTATTCTGATTATCAAGCTGTGACTTTATATAAATCCATACAGAATCAAGAGGAAAGTTTAATAAATCATTGTTTGGGGCAGATTTATTCATGAAATGGGGATTATAAAAACAAGCCGACATGAAAAGACAAGTTTCATCTTGTTTCTTTTCTCTACGGTTCGTTTATAGGGTTTTTCAAACGTATCTGGCATGCGTCCTCAAACTGGACGTTAGCCTTCAGGTGATGTTGTGAAGAGGTGGGCACTGGGACAATGGCAAGGCCATGAGGGATTAGTGCTCTTACAAGCCAGGCTTAAGAGAACTGCCTCAACCTCCCTCTCTTCCCCAGTTGTGAGGACACACTTTGTCCTCCTACCCTGAGTGGCTGCAGCGACATCCCGAAGCAGGGGTCCTTCACCAGAATCAAATCTTGGCCTTGCACTCGGACTTCTCCAACTCCAGAACCATAGGAATATATTTCCATTGTTCTGAAATATGTTGCAGTATTTTGAAATAGCTTTATACGTGAACTTAGGTGATGTCTCAACTTTTCGAGGCTTTGATATCAGAAAGTCCTAGGTTTCTGCTAACAGCTGCCATTAGCAGTCTCTGTACATTTGCTGATCTCCTTGACCTCCATTTTCTCTTACTCCAAACCTCCAGGTCTCCACTTTCAAATCTCTACCTGGACAACTCCTAAAAATAAGCTTCAGGTGTAATTTGAAACATTGATTTCCATGAATCCACTCCATATTTAATGTAACTCATGTCCTTCCTATGTGAGTAAAACCATCCTGCATTCTTTACTAGAGTACTTGGAAAACTTTCATTAAGTTTCTGGGGACTTACCTTTTCCCTCCACCACCCCGTAAGCATCACGGGGAGAAGAGCCCTCTCTTGCAATCTTAACACCGTCTGGCTCTTAGCAGACACACAAGAAACATCATGAAATATAAGTACTTGGAATGGTTTATGAAAGGCTTCCTTCCATCAGTGCAAATTTATTGGACATTTCAATGAGGTTAGAAAGAGCATTGGGTACTTGGTTCATACAGAAGGTCAAAATGAGAAGCCCATTTAAGTATTATTGGTGTACCTTTGCAAAATGATGGTTATCCCTATTAACTATAATTCTAAAAAATGTCTCACTGTGCCAGACCAAAGGGAAATATCTCCTTGGCAGAAAAATATTTTTATCTGTAAACAGACAGACGAACTACTCTGATCAGACAGTGAAAATTATACAACCCGAGATATTGCTTTTCTCAACTAATTGCCAGAAAATTAAGATCTAGCTCCAATCGCTTCTGCAATTAGCTCATCCCCAATGGCTACTCTCCCAGACCCTCTGGGATCTTCACTGTTTTGTCATGACTAACTTCTGCTAGAATCTTTCTGTATGAAACCAGTATGAGCTCTGAAGGAAGGATAAAGTCCTGATTTATTTGGCCGTATTTCACACCAGGCTGGTTGCCTGCATGGGGTCTCTTTTTATCCAGCAATCAAGAAATAGCTTCCTGGTTCCCTGGGTTTGTATTTTATATCCTGCATTGAATAACAAGTGCCCAGAGATTACACTGGCAATTATATCTTTTGATTCTGATATGAATTCTTGGCTGTCATGTTTCTTCTCTGCGGTAGCCACCGGGTTCTTGTTCAAGGCCACTCTAAATCGAGCTCCTGTGGCAATTCTGGTCTTCCTGGCCTTGATCATTCATCCCTGACAAATGTTATCAACAGGCAGCAAGAACTGGGCTTCTTACTTTAAGTAGAAGGCAAGCATTAGCTAATCTGTCTGTCTACTCTGTCTGTCTACACAGACCGGAGGAACAGCACCTGACTTACATGCACAAAGCCCTGGTTTAAGCCTGGGAATCCCAAGAAGAGAGGGTGGGGAGAGAAATATTTATGTTTGGATTGTTGTTTTTTGGAGACAGGGTCTCTCTGTCACGTAACTCTGGCTGGCATATATCTCTCTATATAGATCAGGCTGACCCCAAACTCACAGAGATCTGCTTCGTATGGCCTCTGCTGAGTGCAGGGATTAAAGACAGGTCGCTGCTGTCGTTGTGTTTAATTGTGAAAGCTACTCTCAGGCCATTTGTTTGTTTGTTTGGTTGTTTGGTTTTTCAAGACAGGGTTTCTCTGTGGCTTTGGAGCCTGTCCTGGAACTAGCTCTGTAGACCAGGCTGGTCTCGAACTCACAGAGATCCGCCTGCCTCTGCCTCCCGAGTGCTGGGATTAAAGGCGTGCACCACCATCGCCCTCTCAGACCATTTTTAAATAGATGGGATAAACACTGTAAATACCTAAAACAGGAGCCTGCTAAAATTTGGGGAGTGCTTTTCTTAAAGGTTTTTTTCACAGTGACTGGACCTGATCCAACAACACAATGATGATTCATCAGAAGCACATAATATTGAAACCATCCAACACAGGCTTAGCTCTCCAGACAGAAATGTCCAGGGTGAGACCTGCTAAGTTCTTTTTTTTTAAAAAAAATGGTTATTATTTTATGATTTATTTATTTTTACTTTATGTGCACTGGTATTTTGTCTGCATGTATGCCGTGCAAGGGAGTCAGATCCCTGGAGGTAGAGTTACAGGCAACTGTAAGCTGCCATGTGGGTGCTAGGAATTGAACCCAGGTCCTCTGGAAGAACAGCCAATGCTCTTAACTGCTGAGCCATCTCTCCTGCCCCAAGACCTGCTAAGTTCTTATCTGGTCAGAGAAAACATGGCAAACATCAGAGCTACCTGGACTCCTGGAATCAAAATGTTCAAAACTAAACAGGAGAGAAGGTCTAAAGAGGTGAAACCCCTTAGCAATCCCTTCCCCCTGACAGGAGAAAGCTTTCCATAGCGATTCCAGGCAGTGAGCATACAATTAATCTGTATCGTATTACAAGTGGCAGCGTCAGTCAGGATTTATTTCCCTGGAAACTGCTTCTTAAGATTCCCTACTATTACAGAAATTCTTTTTTCTGAATTTACCAAAACAATTCAAGTTTTCCTAAAATATGTAACTGCAAAAGAGCCCAGTCTCACGCCAGTGTGTGGAAATGCAGTCGGCTAAGCAGAGGTAGAAGGCAGATTCCCTTGCTACCAGCAGCACTGCCGCTGTATCCTGGGCTGAACTGAATCAGGATTGGTCTGTAGACTGAGGAACCACAGGTGACGTGCCAGGACGGTAGCTTACACAAACGAACCAAAGAACTTATTTCCCCAGTCTTGGGAACCCAAAAACAAGATGTTGGCAGGGTTGATGAAACTCTGCAGGCCTCTGCCTGCCTCGTCACCGTCTCCTGACCTTTGTGTACATTCATGGCCTCTCAGATTTCTTGTTCTTATAAGGAAACCTGTCACACTGAATTTGGAGCTCCCCAAAAGACTGTGTTTTGACTGATTACCTTCTAAAAGACCTTGTTCCAACCTACATGGTGAGGCACTGAAGTTCACCAAGATTCTGCATTGCTTTTGCATTTTAATTTATAGGCGAGAGACAGAAGTCAGTTTCTGACAGATGGCCAAGCTCTATGCATGGGGCTGTTTTAAAAGCAGCTGGAGCCTTGTGCATGTACTTTATATTGTTAAAAGCTGATCAAGATTGTTTTGTTCTTTTCTCCTCAGTCAACATGGACATCTGAAATCATGAGAACCATGCCTGGCTCACTAGGAGATTAACAGCTCAGAGCTGTAATCACGGAACAGTTGCAGAAGAGCCTCCGTCAGACGTCAGGCTGTAATTCCAAACTGCAGGGACTCACTAGGTCTCAGACTGCCCAGCAGCAGAAGAGATGAACATATCAACTATAAAGGGTGTGAAAGGCGTTTAAATGCAGTGTGGGTAAAGGGCCTAGGTGACAGTCTAACCCTTGTTAGTATAACGCAGAAGTCTCCTTCTGCCGACCCCTTGATCTTAGGAAAGAAAGCATTTGCCCTAAGTAGCAACATCTAAAGGCACAGCATCCTGACACGGATTCCCTACACTGTGAACACCAGCTACTCTAACTTCTACAGACGGAAGCCCTGAGAGTGTGTCCGCTGGTGACCTCAGCCGCAGGGCTCAGGTGGAAAGTCTCGATTCCAAACTTCCTGAGCTCTCTCAAAGGTGAGAGAGGAAGTCAGAAGTGAAACTAAGGCGCTGAGAGGAAGGAGAGGAAAGGGCACTGACACAAAGCGTCCATCTTAGAGCAGGAGCCAATAAGTCCAGAATTCAAGACCCGGACAACACTACAGCCTGGGGCTGGGAACCAGTCAGTCTGCTCGCTACCATCCCTAGTCCACGACCAATCGTATCTGGTCCTATTCATTCACAGAAGCAAAACGAGGTAGGAAGCCTGTTTCTTCTTTACATGCTCCTTCTTCTAAACCAAAACAAAGTACAAGCCTCAGAATCTTCAGAATTAAAAACTACATTAATCAGAACAAACCTGAAAGCCCCCTTTAGAATGAAGAACGGCCCAGAAGGTCCACTGTTTAGTGGCTTCACATCTCTCTAAGGAAGGAGCTCACCAACCTTAGCACTCCACCCGCAACCCCAGGAGTTAGTGTGTGGAAGGAAGGTATCCTTTGAAATCCTCAGCTGTTTGGGGGAGGAGCCCAGTGCGCCATGACTAGAGTCCTGACCAATCACCACACAGTTCACAGCAATGGCCTAAGAGCGTTTGCCCTACCTGGGAGGAAGAAGTGAAGAGTGACTTCCCCAGAAGCAGCCTGCAGCCAACAACTGCCTGGGCAGTTGGTGATCTCCATTAGGTAACTGACAGGGGGTATCTGAGAGTGCAGAAACCCCGGGCTCCTCCAGGGGACTGCCTTCAGTTAATGGAGAAAGCAAGCTTCCTCGGGTTGGTAGACTTTTCTCCCCAGCCTCGCCTCACCAGTAGCAGGGATCCCTGCTCTAAGCAGCACCCTCTAGGAGTCAGTCAGCCCCACTCACGGAGGCCCTGCTCTCAGCACCGAGGTGCCACAGTCAAGCTCCATCACGAGTTTAATCAAGATATACACACACACACACACACACATATATATATAGTGTATACATACACACACTTCTTGAGTTTTTTTTTACTTCTTGAGATTATGATTACATTGCTTCCCACTTTTCTTCCTCCAAACCTCTCATATATACCCACTCCCTTGCTCTCTTTCAAATTTATGACCTCTTTTTCTTTAACTGCTGTTACGTGTGCGTGTGTGTTCCTAAATACAACCTGCTCGATCTGTACGATGTTACTTGCAATCATGCTCTCTGGGCTGACCATGTGGTATTGGATAACCAACTGGTGCGTCCTTCCCCGAGCCATCATGTTTTAATGTCATCTGTGTACATATTAATTTCATTTCTCTATCTTGGATTCTTTTCTTTTTCTTTTAACTGTGGGCTCTTGGAAAGGGAAAACCCCTCTGACTTGAATTCCCTATGCTGCTCAGCACAGCATCTCCACAAACTAGATGCTCGATGTGCTGACTAGCTGAAGGATGAATTAACTATGTCAGTCAGCATGAAAGTCGGGTTCTTTATTTAACCTAACGCAAACTATTTTAGCATGGCTCTTTTCTTCTTTCAAGAGTACAGCATGAACTGCCTTTAATGAGCAAATTACTGTGTGCATATGTTTCTGTAAATCTGCGTTTTCTAGACTTTCATCTTGAACAACCCTGAGTCCCAGAAAATTCAACCAAAGATCTCAACAAATCCAAAACCACTTTCCTGGATACAGCATAGTAACACTTTTTTTTTAAGTCCTGCCTTTTCCACTCACTCAACTCTTTGCTGGGGCCATCCCCATCCACACAGAGACCCTGAGCCTGCTGGAGTCATCGGCATGCTCATATTCATGCACCATTCCCCTGCATATCTCCTCACTGTGAACCCACACCGCACCCCCAGGAAAAGAGGAACATGACCGCCAGTCAGGGCGATGTCCTACACACAGGAGAATGCTGCCACGGGGTTTGTGTGCTACTCGGAAGCCCACACCACCTTTCCTCTCCCACGCCTGCTAGTCCACCACAGCTCTCAGCATTGCCTGCCTGGTCCAATCTGAGTCACTTCTTTCAGCTCACCAGGTTATTGATAAAGCAACCTTCTTACTCTCCAAGTTCCATACCTGTAGCTCCCCAGTTTTAGGTTACAGTCACCTCCTTTGAAGTTCCTATGGTGTCAAGCAGAGCTCTCCCTGAGCACTGTCAAGATCTCACCAGAATGTCCCTGCCTGGTTAACAACCTAGAGTGTGTGAACACTGGTACACAGTGAGAATCCTTCTTTCTCTGTCCTATGTATAGGCCAGTAGTAGGCAGGCATTTATGTCATTACAGGGTCTTTCTATGTTGCCCGAGCTGGCCTAGAGCTTATCAGACTGGCTCTGAACATGCAAGAGATCCTCCTAGCTCTTCTACCCCAAGGGCTGAGATTACAGGCATGGGCCTTTAAATAAACAGTCAAGCATGCTGGGAGACTTGGAGCCAATTGCTTGACTTGGAAATACAAGCATCCAAAAATCCAATCATCTGCAAGTCCTGTTATTTTCTAAATCAGTGACTAGTGAGCAGCTGTAGGGCAACAGAAAGCATGCCACATGAATCACAGCACGTTTTCAATGCAATGGAGAATGATATCCAAGGATCCGCTCCATAGACTATCCCTTCTGTTAACCCCTCCCTCATCAGCTCCATCTTCCAGTTAATCAACTCATTCCATCATCACAGTAACCCTGATACGTTCTGACTCTTTCTCCCAGCCGATCGTCCAGTGGCCATTTGCTGTCTCCAAGTCATGTTCTCTCATTCATCCCTCACCCTGTGACCCCTCCCCACAACAACCCAAGCTTCACTCAAACTGCTGTCTTCCAACCACCAGTGACAAATCAGCTGGAAAATCCGAAGGATGCTCCTTGCTTCTTAACTCTCCAGAGCACTCAACTGCACATAACAATGCCAATCATAGGCCTGTAAAGGTTAGTAGTTGGCGACTGTTAGCGGCGATTGTGCTTGGTCGCTGGCGCCGGCATCGTGTCTCGTGTGTTGGTGCCCTGTCATGTGAAAAGCACCGTAGCCCTGCAAGTGGGAGACATGAGAACCTCCCAAGGTCGGCCTGGCATGCTGGTCGTCGATGTCACCTTTCCCAACGTCGCGCCTTTCGAGTTGCAGGAGATCATGTTTAAGAATTACTACACAGCTTTCTTGAGCATCCGTGTTCATCAACATACCCCACTGCACACACCATCCAAGTGGGTAACTTGTCTGCGGGACTACTGTTTGATGCCTGACCCACACAGTGAGGAAGGAGCCCAGGAGTATGCATCACTGTTCAAACACCAGATGCTGTGTGACATGACCAGAGTACTGGAGCTGCATCTGATTCGGCGGCAGCCATCAACACTATGGCTGTCTTTCACAGTGGAGGAAGTGCAAATCTACCAGCAGGGACCAAAGAGACCCTCCTTGACTTTCCCCAAGTGGCTTTCCCACCTGGTGTCCAATGAGCAGCCTGTTCCCCGCCTTGAGGGTCTCCCAGATCCCAGAGTATCCTCTGAGGTGCAGCAGATGTGGGCACTGACAGAGATGATTCGGGCTAGTCACAGTTCCACAAGGATGGGCCGCTTTGATAGGGATGTCTGTGATGATCTGAATCTGCTCTCCTACACATGAACGGCAGCTTCTACTTGAGACATTGGCCTTCTGTGCCCATCCAGGACTGGTTTGGTCACCAGAAACTGAAGTGTGTTCCCTGCGCATCCAAGTTCTATCTGTGCCAAAGAAATTCTTGACATTCACTTAGCTGTTTTAGCATGAATTCCCAGTGTGTGTGGGGGTACTTTCTGTCTTTGTCTGACATGCAAATTCATTCTCTTCCTCTCAACATTTACAGGTTCTACTTAGAATCCTTGAGTTCCTCCTGCCTATCCTGCCAGTGTGCACAGCCTGTCTTCTACCATTTTCCCTATTGAGATAAACCTGTTCCCTGTAGCCTAGGAAGGCCACTGCTATTTTGACACTCATGACCTGAGAAACTTGAAGAAGAGATGTCCCCTATTCATTCCTCTGCTTCTGTTGGTAGGTAGCCTTTTTCCTTTTGTATTATATCCATAGAAAAGTAAATGTCCTACAGACCTGCATGGTCTGTAGGTTGACCTTTTGGTCAACATGGAGATCACTAATTTTGGATGTCAGACAGCTAGCTGGGTGACATATTATTAATCTCCATAGATCTGCCATGAGTAACATCTCTGTTATGTGGACTATAATCGCAATGTTCTCTGGGTTACTTTTTAAGGGACTTTAAGGCTGCTAACTTTCCACTGGGACCTGTATATGCTTCTTGCGTGACTGGAAGTGACGAGAAAGGATTGGCATCTTTTTCTTCATACTGTGCGACATTCATTAATTAGTTGATTGTTTTCCTCCTCCTGCTCCTCTTCCTCATGCCCCTCCTCCTGATCATCCTCCTGCTGCTCCTCCTCCTCCTGCCCCTCCTCTTGGTCCTAGTCCTCTCCTCCTCCTGATCCTCCTCCTCCTGCTGTTTCTCTGGATCCTCTTCCTCCTGCTCCTCCTCCTGCTCTTCTTAGTGCTGCTCCTCCTACTGCTGTTCCTCCTAGTCCTCCTCCTGCTTCTCCTCCTGCTCTTTCTGTCTTAACCTTTGGAGCTGATACTCAGCTCTGCAAACAGACAAGCTGACCATGAGAAATGATTTATCCAGAACTCTAACATTCTAATTTGATCTAGCCACCTAATCTCTCTCCTCCTCCTTCAGCTCCACATCAATGAATATCAGACTTTGAAAGGAGTCCAAAGAGGTCAGGTCAGCCCTGAAAGCTCTTCACCTCTTCTCAGGTGGATTCCTGGTCACAGAGCTCAGTCTCCCTTGGTATAGTACATCACAACTCTTCAACGGCTTGGAACTCAAAGACTAGTTTGTGAGTGAAGTTCCCTCTTTTCCATTCTTCCACCACTGAATATGCCTCTTACTGTCCTCAACACTCATATCCTAAATACTAGTTTTTATCATGACACGAGCATCTGGACCTGGGTTCCAGACCCCAGCAAGCTGAGCAATCCTGGGCTTAGATCTTCAGGATTGTCTCCCTCTGTCACACCCTTGTAACTTATGTAAAATTTAACAACTCTCCCTTCATGCACAACATTATGCGACCCTGCCTTCTCAGCATACACTATTACAGATCTGTTAAACTGGGACTAGACCTCTTTCTCTATCTACCCTTTTATCTGCTGTAAAAGAAACGATGAACACCCTATGGTACTGTCTGTGTGTCTGTAATCCTCACTTCCCCAAAGGAATTTTAGCAAGCACATTTAACAATCAGAGGTAAGGTGATCTTCCTGTATGATAAACACATGGTAACTAAAGAACTTAACCTTTCCCAATTCTCCTGTGACTCAGAAACCACCTGACTGCAAGCAAGCATTGACAGTAGGCTAGTCATCCACTTCATAGAGGACCTGTCCACATCTCAGAAACTTCTAAAAGGGGCCCTGTTAGCCTGGCGGGTCTTAACTCTCTTCAGAATGCACTACACCCACCTGTTTGTTTATAGTGTTCGTGTTTCCTCTAATAAATGTCTTATCCCAAAAGATAATCTACTCTGAACTGTTTTTGAACCCCCCCAATCTAAGACCTTCCAATGCCTGGATACCCTTCTCCATCTTTTATGTCTCCCTCTTCCTCTCCATTCCCAATGCTCTCCTTGCTGATAATCTCCTGTCTAACAAGGTAGGTGTCCAATAGTGTCCCTTCTAGATAAATTTTCACATCCATTCAGCCTAAAGATCTGCCTCTCCTTGGTGAGATGGCTAGCTGCAAAACTGAAACTTTTAGTTGCATGCAAAATAAGATGCTGTCCCTTTCAGTGGCTCCTGCCATCCTTTCCTATTGTGTGTAGTTATCGCAGGCAGATGCGGCACCAGTTGAAGCCAGTTGTCCAGAGTAAACTTTATTCATTATAATGCTAAACCCTCTGTGTGAGAAGTTATATTCTCTGGATGCTGCCAGGCACCATGTTTGCACATGTGGTTTATGAAGAAGTTTATTCACATGGTCAGGAGTGCTCAAGAGTCGACATGTGCTGACAACTCTTCCCAATATGAATACGCATGAGTCTTCAGAAAGAAATCCCTAGCCTTCTGTGTGCAAAGAGACAGTGCTTTGGGGGAAGCCATCTTATTGGCTGCAAGTAATAACTCTTCCTTCTCTGGTCGTACTTCCTGGCCTTGCACTCACAGAGGAGTAAACCTCGGGGGTTTGGCCCCACCCCCATTGCGCTCCATGTTAACCTTCAGCACAGTGCACGTCTCAACTCTTCTAAAGTTATTTTATATCTCTATCAACCAGCCGTCACCTAGACCCAACTCCTCAAACAAAGATATCCACAAGAGGTATTCAATCTGATTCCTTTCGTGTTAAGTGGTAATAAATATTTTCTGGTCTGGCTCTGTAACTCTAAGTGCTCTGGGATATCCCATACGACCCTTTCTCAGGCATCGCTTCTTTGACTGGAAGGTTCCGCTGGGGTCATGATATACTAATATTAAAAATCCATAGCAGTTGGGACAGCCCTGGTGGTGCAGTGGTAAGCAAGCAGAGCTGCCCTCCAAAGCGCACTGCAGCCCCGATTTTAACCTCCACCTCAAAGAGCTGAAACAAACTAAAATTAGCCACATCCTGGTACTCAACATAGCCTAAGACTTGGCAAGATCATCCTTTATGCAGGCACACTGCTGACAGAGCATGGTGAACTGGAATTCAACCAAAGAAGAAAACCTGCAATATCTTTAACACAGAAATTCTGAGTTCTGCTGACTCATTCTGACTTAAAGCTGCAATAACATTTGAGTAAGGAGCATCCAAGCTTACTCTGCACTTTTTTTTTTTTTCTGCAGAGCTGACAGAATTTGGCAAACAAGAAATCTGATAGCCTTCTGCAGTTCCACTGATCTTGACTGTGCTCACCTGCATTACGGTGTCTGGTAGCATAAATTAACAGTTTCTTATAAAATGTAGTCCTGTTTAAACTACTGAGGAGAGCCGAAAATCCTGCCTAGCGTTTCTGCAACTGAAGAGAGTCACACAGGACGCCACCTTCCCCAAAGGCTTGGTGTCAGTTCGATGTGATCTCTTTAGTCCTGGATAAGGCAAGAGCACCTGTATAAACTGTTCTGATTTTGGGAAAGGCATTTAAATACCAATATAATTAATAAACAAACAGATACAATGTGGTAAATTTTCATCAGTACAAAGTTTCAAAGAATCTACACTAGTGTGAAACCCGAAGCAAAGAGCCTTCTCAAAATAGACACTTGTGAGTCACTGCTTACTGTCATCTTCCTACATAAGTCACGTGGTGCATTATAAAAAGTAAAATGGAAGAAATTTCTAGACTAAAGTCTAATTATGCTTCAGTCAGTAGTTTATTATGCTTCTTATATACTGATTACTACAGTTAGCATTTAATTAACTAGGAATAATTCAAATATTTATTTCATTTAAAACCATAATATGACAAGATTGGGGCCATCAACAGTTAATCAGAGAGGGGCACAGGGCCCTACCTCTCCTTACTGAATTACTGTCTATTTTAATGGATTCTGGGGGAGGGGTAATAACTGTCTTTGGTTATATATCAACTGATAAGTCCACTAGACTCCAGTGGCTAGTTTCAAACCCCACAATAACATAGACAATTCTGCTTAAACTTAATGGGCCTTAGAAAAAGAAAATAAGATATAAATGTGGAAAGAAAACTTGAAGAGCAAAGGGTGGGTATTTGAGGCGGGAAGGACACTACTGTAACAGGTGAGGTTACAGTAACTAGAAAGTTCTTTATATATGTATGGAAGGATCAAATTATCAACAGCTCAATAAAAGTTATTAAAATCCTAATGTAAGCCCAGCACTCAGGAGGCAGAGGCAGGCGGATCTCTGTGAGTTCAAGCCCAGCCTGGTCTACAAGAGCTAGTTCCAGGACAGGCTCCAAAATCACAGAGAAACCCTGTCTCAAAAAACCAAAAATAATAAAATAAAATAATAAAAAATAAAAAAAATAAATAAAATCTTAATGTATAAAGTCTCCATTTGGGACATGTAACATGTTAAATGTTTTTCTTCAGGAAAAGGAAATAAGGATACAGTTACTAATCAAACTTCTCCCTCTTCTTCAAGTTTTCTTTGCCACATAATCAACTGGAAAACATCAGTTGCTTCAGCACAGACATTGTGGTGGTGAATCTTAGAAATGAAGGTTTACTATCGCTGCTTCCTCAGAGGCTTTGCTGTGTACTTACTTGTTCAGTATGAGATCAAGAATGAACTTGGAGCCAAAGGCTTCAATCTGGAAGCTCGCCTGGGCCAGATGGACAGCCTAAATGCAGAAAGAGAAGGAAACTTAAAAGGTGTTGACAGGACCAGCATTTTTATGTAGACTTTTTTAGGCATCTTTATCTATCATAGAATTTCTTTAAAGGATTAGGTGCACCATCTCGGTCCTCCTGGAAGACCAACATACGTAAGCTGCGAAGAGCTAATACAAGATCCTCCAAAACAAACCCACTAAAGCAAGAATCAGCAGCGTGTCCTGCTGGACTTCCAAAGTGAACAGGATAAACCGAGCAGAACTCTAATCCAGGTTTGACTCTGGACTATTCTGTGCTCCGAATGAAGCTCGCTGCACACCCAGATGAGAGTCCCTGCCAGCACTCTGCCCTTCTGCGGGAAGAGGAACTTCCTCTGTGATGCGCCTGCAGACTGTGACAATCAAACAAAACGGCCAGGCTTCTGACACCCGAGAGCACTTGAACTACAGCCCCCGGGAAGATTACGTTTACATCCCCCTTTAAGAGTCACAGATTTACACACAGTGCCTTAATCCAGAAACCAGCAATAATCCCAGCTAAGCCAGAATCATATTTAGCAGGTGTTAAAAGATTAGCATAGGCCAAAGAAGTTTCCTGGATAATGTAAATTAGCAAACCAATGAAGAGCTGTCAAAAAGTATTACCCAACATAAAGTTACACTTTGCTATCCTATCAAGTAAGAGAGAGAGAGAGGAGAGAGAGGACTATATGTGATAACCACACCAATTAGACCTATTCCTAAGGTAGAGGGGGAACCAAAGAACAGGTGAAAAGCTGTGCCTGGTAACTGGAGGTCAATTTACACACACCAGACTTCCTCTCCAAGGACTGGATATTCCCAGCTCCCCCACTGCCAATGCAGGCTTCTCTCGACTCTCTCTGACATTATTATTGATCAAATCCTTCCAAGCATGCCAATCACCCTCCATCATACCCACTCTAGGTATAAACTCTGGTCCTCAGAGCTGTAGGGCACTTTGTTTTCCCCTTCTCTGTCTGCGGGTTTTTGCTTCCTTCCATCCCCTCCAAGGACAGTAAACACCATGACACATATCACAGGCATCTTGCAAATGGTTACAGATTAATCACCCTTCCTCAAAACCATCCAAACCTTCCAATTCAAAACTCACCAAACATTTATTGTCAAGGCTACTATCTTGCTGCAGCCATAAAAAGACCATCAATAAAACCACGGTTTTTATTTCAGTCCGTCACAACCGCCAGCTACCCAATAAAAACAGTAAATATAATTTTAAAGGCAATTAACACATACTAAATTTTAAACAAGACCAATAAGTGGTCCGTGCTATCCTAACACCATCAGCCTCCATCCCAAAATCCAAACCGCACAGAGTAAGATCATCACACAAGTCCGAGGTTCCTGAATCAAAACATAAAAATAGAAATTCCCTGTCTTGCCAAGTGAGGTCTCTGTCACCTGCAGTGGATCCTCTACACAGCCAGGACAAACTGTAGGGTCTTTACATGAATTCATTTTGTATCTTACACCATCAGTTTTTGCTTGAAGACATTTATAAAGATGAATAAACAAGATAAGATTTTTCAGCTATGGTTTCCAAAAGCTTGTCTAAAAATCTAACACTTATTTCCTGAGAATATAAGTACTTAAGCTTTATATTTTCCTCATAAAATATTACATAGCAGAGAAATGTTCACTGTGGCTTACCCAAGCTGATCTGTAAGCTCCTAAAACTTCTGATATCAGCCTGGTATCAACCCAGAAAAAAAAAAAAAAAAAAGTAGGGCAGCCTGGTAGCAAACCCAGCAAACCCGTTTTGTGCAACAGCTTGAACTTACACAACTTGATTTTTGCTAAGTTTATCCCAAGTCAGCACAACAGGCTTCAGTGTCACGAAATCTAATACAAGATGTAGCAAAGGACACTGGGTCAGCCTTTTGCCCTTCCAGGAGGTTCAGCGCACAAGCGCCTGTGGATACCTCAGAGACAGCCACCACTAATGCGGCTGAGCCACACCCCAAGCAGCCTTAGAACTGCAACTGTGGAGTGGCTTCCCTGACAGAGTGCTCCCTGGAAAAAATTTCCAAAGGTGAAATAAGAATCCAGCTATGAGGGGAACAAAGATGAACTTACAAAAATAGGATCCTAAACATGAATGTGGGAATAAAGAACCCTTTCTGCATTTTTTTTTTCGAGACAGGGTTTCTCTGTAGCTTTTTGGTTCCTGTCCTGGAACTAGCTCTCCTAGACCAGGCTGGCCTCAAACTCACAGAGATCCACCTGCCTCTGCCTCCCGAGTGCTGGGATTAAAGGCGTGCGCCACCACCGCCCAGCTTTGAGGCAGATTCTTACACAATCAGGCGAGACACAAACTCACCACATACAGGAGGGTGGCCTGAATTCCTTCCACTGCATCCCAAATGCTAAGATTATGCAAGTAAAAATCTGCCTAGATCATACAATTTTTATTTACATACCTAAATACATACATGTGTGTATACACACACACAAACAGAGCACACACACATGCCTTTCAAGTGGTAGGAAGTTAGACAAATAGCAGACATGAGTAGGGTTTTGTCTAAGACCGCTTCTGATCGCTCTAACGTGTTTAGAATTGATAAGACGCTACACGTCGCTGAAAATACAAAATAAGGGATGACACGGTAAGGTTTATATAAAACCAGCTTCTCAGACTACTTCCGAGAGAACTGACCCCACACGAGGTCAGCTGTTTTGTCCTTCAAGATGTCTGTTAGACAGTCTTGTTTTTATAAGGACATCCTCCGTAATGGCACTGGGGAAGGCCACAGAGTTTTCGAGGCAAGAAGCATCATTTCACGAGAAAGAGCGCGTCCCTGGGCTCAGTACTGCCACCCTGAAGGACTGGAAACAGCTGTTCTGTCAGCACTTCAGTACTTTGCTTGGGACTAAGAATCTGGTCCAGGGAAATTGCAGGAGCCTCATAAACAAAAACAACTAATGGTAATTATATACACACAAATCTCCTTCGCTAGAGACAATTCGCAAGTCTTCAAAGTACTCTTCTGTTCTTCTGACTCCTTCCTTCCCTCCTGCTTTCTAGTAATGCTACCCCTATTAAGCAACGTTAGAAGCCCACTCTATCCTAGGGCAGCTGCCACAGTATGCTTTGCCATCGCACAATGCCGTAATATAATACAGGCAGCTTGTATCAGGCACACTGCATACCTGAAGAGACACGGTGAGCTGTTCTTGAGACAGTTAGTAAACATTAAAATGAGCAGAACTACATCTCCACCTATAAATTTTTTTTATAAAAACTGGTCATTTGAACATGCGCACACTGTCATGAAACAACGTCTCCCGCTGCCTTTTGTGGGAGCTGGGCTTTCTAGGGTATACCCATCACTAGAACAAACACTGGGAAACAGAGACTCTGCACTTTCCCACTTACAAAACCTAACTTCAGACTTCGGTAAAATGTTAAAAGGTTGCAGAACAGAAAGTCTGTGATGTCAGTCCCCACACCTCTTTACCTCTGTGTGTCTGCTCTTCTCTACTGAGCTCGGGAAGCAGAGGACAATCTGGAAGTGGTTTTCTCCTAATTATGATCTGTTCTTTATGAAGACTTTCACTCAGGTAATAGAGGAAACATTAAAAGCGACTTATAAAGGGTTAGAGAAATGACTTTGCAATTAAGAGCGCTGGCTGTTCTTACAGAGGACTTGAGTTCAGGTCCCAGCACCTTGTAATTCCAGGACATCCAACTCTGGCCTCCTCAGACACTCCACTCACATTCACACATATACAAGCATAATTTAAAAATAAAAATAAATTTAAGTGGCATATCCATCTCCTTCTCGGGTTTTAATCATTCCAGAGCACCGTCATATCTACCTAGAATGCCCAAGAAATTGGCAGGACAGATGTTCTTACTGCTTATAAAAAGAAAAAAAGAAGGAAAAAATCTAAGGAACAGAAGGTTAAGTGAGATTCTTGTTCAAGGTTGTGCAAGATATTAGCTTCAGTTAAGCAAGAAGTGCCAAGTCCATTTCAGAAGTTCTTAAATCTTCAAGCCTCAATGGTTTCTAGCTATTAAAATATAAATAACAATAGTGTACCACAAAGATGTGTATGAGGATTAAATTAGGTCATAATGTAACAGAAACGTACTAGAAAAGGTTGATTACATTGAAACGCCTTAATCATTTAGAGAAGAGCAATGTGGACTGAAAAAGGAGAATATATTAACATTTTAGAAAGGGTAGACATGTCAGCTCGCCTCAGAATTCCCTCCCAATGTATCTGCTTACCTTCTAGCAAATTCCAATATGCATTTATATGCTGAAAAATTTGAATGTTATATTTTTATTACTCACTACCATTATAGATTATGCTTTGACCTTGTTCAAGTGCTGTGTCTTTGAAACAATATGAATCATTTTCCTACGAAGTGAAACAGCTGCAAACGTTTCACGAAGGCAGTTTTATAAATTAAAGTAATTTGCTGAACAATTCCTGCCAAGTCACATTTAAATAGGTAGTCCGTGGAAAAGAATATATTCTTGTGTTCTTCACTGTGTTCTAATGCACAGCATTATCAGTTAACCCACTAACAAATTTGAATAGAAAACCTACTTTGTATGAGCTACTGTGGAAGACGTGAGGTTATAGAGAAATTGAGATTCACGTTTAAGAACCCAACCATCTGGGACATGAAATGAAAAACAAATGAGTACAAAATACAATGCACTGATTAAATACTAACAAAAACTATTTATCATCATGGGACACATAAGCATGATTAATCATCAAATGTGGGGGACGGACAAGTGTATTAGAATTTGAAGGGGGGATTTTGGAGACTGGAAATAAGTGACAATTGCTTATGCAGGAGTCTCAGCATGTAAAGATTAGCAGAACTCAGATAGCTCAGCGACTCAGTAGGACGAAATTATCAAGTGTTTCTAATGTTTGCTAATGAATAGACACATCAGAAACACCCTTTTAAAGCAAAACACAGACCGTCTTCCATTCTGGAGCAT